ATTAACATTAAAATTATTTGTGAAAGATCACTGTTGAAAGTTTAGAAATAAAGTAAAATATTAAAAGGAGAAGATTAAGCAATAAAACTACCCAAGTCTAATTGCTGAAGATTTTGGTATATTTATATTTCCTTCTGATTTTTTTCTTACATGTATTTGCTGTTTTTGACATTTCTTTTTCATTGAGCGCATATTATTCTACATCATTAAATATTTGAGCACATATTTTCTAATAACTGTATACTATTATATGATGTATATCTGTATTGTATATTTTTGATGATATGAATAATTGTGCAGTTATAAATTTTTAATCCTGTAAGACATATGCTTATGGTAGAAAAATCTGAAAAACTTAGAAAATCACAAAGGAGGTGACCTCAAATCATTGTTTAAAATCTGACATAGATTTTGCCATTTTTTCCGTGTTTGCATATATATTTTTAGTACAGATTATAATCTGATATAAATATTTCACTAAATTTTGGCTTATTTCTTGAGGTTAAGTTTCTAAGATAGAATTATATGCTCAAAGTAAGAATATTTTAAAGACTCTTCATACATATTGCTAAGTTGCTTTTTATTTTACGCTTTCCCTTGTAAACACACTTAATTTTAAAGCTATTCATTTTTAATTATGTGACTATCGCAGTTGCTTTTGCTGACATAAATTATAGTTCCTTGTATCCTGAATTATATCTGTGTTTCAATCTGTTCTCCCTTAGCTAAACTTGGCTTACATGTTTAGTTGATATTATGTAAAATGAAATTAGACATTTGAAAGTCTGGTTTATTTCTGACTTTTATGTATAGTTTTCTTTCACCACAGATTTTTCGTTAGTACCAATAAGGTAAGAAAATGAAAAATAGTTTTCTAAGTCATATGGCTTAGTGCCTTTTAAGCCTAATCTATCACCCTTTAAAAAAATTACTTAAAATATTGTTATGAATAGGTAGTATATACATATGGTACAAAACTCAAAAAGTTGAAGGGGACTGTTGGCCTGGCCCTGGCAGCTTTCAGATGCCTAGTTTCCCTTCCTGGAAGCAAATACCTTAGTAGTTTCTTGTGTATACACCTAGTGATATAGTCCCTATATAAGTTTTGTGTGTCCATGTATGCTGCGGTTAGCATAGTAAACATACTCTCTGCCCTTGAGATTGTTTCCAACAGTGTATGGAGAGGTTGCTAGCTCATTTCTTTTTAAAGGCTCTATAGCATGCATTTGTATGAATAACCATCATTTATTTAACTAGTTTCCTACTGTTAAGAATTAGGTTATATCCAGTCTTTTGCCATTACAAACTATGTTGTAGTGATGAACCTTGTAGATTTTGCCCATATGTAAGTGTAATCTGTGAAGTAAATTTCTGAAACAGAATTACTGTGTTACAGTGTGTGCTTTAAAAAATGTGTTGTCAAACTGTTTATTTCAGGTTCTATAATGGTTTAGACTTCCACAGTATGTCTGTAGGACATACTCTTGAACTGTTGGACATGTGCTTGGACACCACAGGATATCAGACTTTTTGGTCTTTGTCAATTTTGTTAAAAATATATCTTACTATAGTTAAAATTTTAATTTTAATTTCTTCTAGTAAGAAATTAAAATTGACTGGGCTCGATGGTTCAGCTTGTAATCCCAGCACTTTGGGAGGCCAAGGTGAATGGATTGCCTGAGCTCATGGGCAAGACCAGCCCGGACAACTTGGTTTGATCTTGTTTCTACAGTAAATAATATTAAAAAAATTAGCTGGGCATGGTAGTGCACCTGTAGTTCTGGCTACTTGGAAGGCTGAGGTAGAAGGATCGCCGGAGCCCAGCAGGTCAATGCTGGGGTGACCGTGAGTGTGCACTGCATTCCAGGCTGGGCGTTGGAGTGAGACTCCAACTAAAAAAAAAAAAAAAAAGAAAGAAAAATTAAAATTAAACTGAAAAAATACAACCTTTCTGTTTTTAATTATTATTTTTATAACCCTTTAAGTGAATATATTTTTATTTTTATCTGATAATTTTTATAAAAGTTAATTCCAGGATTAAATATGTATAATTATAAAGGATAATTTAAACATCGTGTAAACATGTTGCTTAATGCAGCAAAAATATAGACTTCTAGGTTTTATTATATTTAGCTAATACATGTGCTATCTAGCTTTAATTGGCATTCTCCAGTTAAAATTTTTCAATTTAAACTGACTTTCAATTTTCTGTTGCTCACTGTTCCCATGTAAGGTTTAAGGAATTGTCCTTCCATAAAGGAATATATTTTGCCTGATGGTGCCATGAGCCTTGATGGTTGGTATATTGGAGTCCTAGACACTAGCTGTATAGTTAAAACCATGTGACTTACAGGTAGTGAGACCTGGTGAATTAGTTATTGTGCAAGGCCCTAAGTCAGTGTATAGGCAACTTCTTCACAATTATATGGCACATAAGTCTGTCAAACAACTTATTCTGACTATCCTCTAGCACTCATTTCCTTAACAGCCTTTGTTTCACTCATGTTTAACTTTTTTTGGTAGTTTTTTTTTTTTTTTTTTTTTTTTGAGTTGAGTCTCCTTCTGTCCCCCAGGCTGGAGGGCAGTGGCATGTCACCACAGCCTCAACCTCCTGGGCTCAAGCAATCCCCCCACCTCAGCCTCCCAAAGTGCTATGATTACAGGTGTACCTGGCCCATGTTTAACATCTTAACATTTTCAAATATTTATTTGTTATGGCTTAGTATGTACTGTTCTGTCTACCTAGAATTTTCACTTACCTTTTTCTTGGTATATATCACAGCCCAGCTCAAATATCACCTGTCTTTTCTATTTTTTAAACTTTTAAATTTTTTATTTTGCTGTTTCTTTTTTTTTGAGTTGCAGTCTCACTCCGTCACACAGGCTGGAGTGCAGTGGCACACTCACGCACCAACCACCCCAGCGTTGACCTGCTGGGCGCTGGTGATCTTTCCGCCTCAGCCTTCCAAGTAGCTGGAACTACAAACGCATGCTACCACTCTTGGCTAATTTTTGATTTATTGTAGAGACGAGGTCTCGCCAAGTTGCCTAGGCTGGTCTCGAACCTGTGGGCTCAGGCAATCCACTCACCTCAGCCTCCCAAAGTGCTGGGGTTACAGGCTGAGCCACTGAGCCCAGCAATTTTTTTATTTTAAAGATGTGGGGTACAGTTTAGGTTAGGTATACAAATGTTCGTTATTCAGGTACCTTTGTTGATAAGGTGTATCCTCCATCCCCTGGCAGTTTCCCTCAACTGCCAACCCTACCCCTTTACTGGCAGTTTCCCACTACTGCCAGTCCCCTTCTTTTAGTATTATAATAGTTCAAGGTCTGCTTATGAGTGAGAACATATGGTACTCTGTTCTTTGTTTCTGTGATAGATCACTGAGTATGATAGACTCTGAATCCATCCAACTTGCTGCAAAGTACATATGTTTGTCCTTCTTTATGGTTGCATAATGTTTCATTGTGTATATGTACCACATTTTTTTATCCTGTCCAACTTCAGTGGGCAGCATGGTTGGTTCCATGTTTTTGCTATTGTGAATAGAGCTGCAACAAATACGTGTGTGCAGGTATCTTTTTTGTAGAATGATTTGAGTTCCTCCCGGTATATTCCTAATAGAGGGATTGCTGAGTCATATGGAAGGTCAATTTCTAGTTCTTTCATAAATCACCACACTCTCCCCTCCTATTACCATATACAAAAATTAACTCTAAATGGATCAAAGGCCTAAATGTAAAATCTTGAACTATAAGAATCTTAGAAAATACAGGAGACACTTTTATGGAAATTGGAACTGACAACCAATTCCTGATCAAAACCCCAAGTGTCCATGCCATAAGAGATAAGATAGACAAGTGGGGCCTCATCAAATACATGCTTCTGCAAAGCAAAAGAAAGCATCAGGAGTGTGGGAAGACAGCACACAGAATGGGAAAAAAATATTTGCCAACTGTATATCACCTTTATTTTCAAGTTGTCCATAGCTACAATAGTTAGGATTATTCTCTCTTGTTCGTACAAGGAGGAACCCCCCCCCCAAATGAAATGATCTTTTAGAGGGCAGATCAAATGCTCAACCAAAGTTTTTTTCTGGAAGTTTTGAGAAGGCTGCATCATGATTTGCAGAAGAAATGTCCTGACTTGTGGCAGACTGATGACTGGTTCTTTCACATGACAATACACCTACCTATACCATGGTGAGTTTTCAGCATTTTTTGACCAAAAACGGCATTACCCCCATGCCTCACCCTCCCTATTCACCTGATCTTGCCCCAAAGGTGCAAGGTGACTGAAGTTAAGCATGTAAGAATAATCACACATATTTTATTTTGAGTAGAAGTCTTACTTTGTTACCCAGGCTGGAGTGCAGTGACACGCTCACGGCCACCGTAGCCTCGACCTGCTGGGCTCAGATGATCCTTCCACCTCAGCCTTCCAAGTAGCTAGAAACACAGACATGTGCCACCACACCTAGCTAATTTTTTTATTTATTGTAGAGACACGGTCTCGCCAATTGCTCAGGCTGGTCTTGAACCCCTGGAACCAGGCAGTCCTCCAGCTTCTGCCTCCCAGAGTGCTGAGATTACAGGCGTGACCTACTGCACCTGGCACAGTTTTTTATAAATACCTTTCTTTTGGGTCCCCCTTCATATTTGCTTTCTCAGCATCTAACATAGAGCTTAATATACAGTGATAAAATATTTAAGAGTATTTCATGGTCTGAGGAATTCTAGGGACTAGGCTCTGTTCTAAATCAGTTTCAATTTACTGAGAAATAAAAATTTTAAAATTTAGGAGTTGTGTGTAATTTGCTTTGAGTTGTCCCTCTGCAGAATCTAAATAACTTCAGAAAACTTTGTCGGATTTCCCCAGTTAATTTTTTTCTTTAGATTCCATTAATATGAAAGTTTTGCATTTGATGAGTATGTCTTGATGTTGGCTTGTGATAAAAACCTAATACATTTTGTCATGAAGTTATTCTTTGTTTATACAGCGAATGTCCAGGCACACAGATGCAGCAGGAGACGTACTATTGGAAAAAAAAGGTTGTGCAGGAGTGATAACCTTAAACAGACCAAAGTTCCTAAATGCTGTGACTTTTAATATGATTCGGCAGATTTATCCACAGCTAAAGGTTTGTAATTTTCCTAAAGCAATGATATGGATCCTTTTTATGGTCATTGTCATAGAACCTTTCTGGTGTTTTCTCCCATAAAAGCATAAGACTCTGGGATCTGTGCCTAAGCCCTATTGATGCTTGAGTCCACGGTGCTTTTCCTGTGGGTTATCGTGAGCATCCCTGGTGATAAGGCGTTCATTGCCTACTGAGACAGCCTCTTTCACTTTTGATTTGTTCACACATTTCTTTTTGTGTTCTGCCACTCTTTGTTGCTCTGACCTTCAAACCAGTGATATTGGCTCTATCCCTTAGGGCGTGAGTATACGAATCTAATCTGCATCCACATGACAACCTTTTGGTTTGAAGAGCTCTAGGCCTGCCTTTTATTAGTGAAGGCCACAGTCTTATAAAGTGAACAGCATGGGGTAGTAGAAAAAATAGGACTTAAAGTTTGGTTTGAAACTTGGATTTCTACTTATTAACTGTGTAGGCTGGGGAAGTTAATCTCTCTGGCTCACTTTCCTTACCTGTGAGATGGTGTTGATGAGATTTCATAGAATGGTTGTAAAGATTAAGTAATTGATATATATATATACTTATTTATATATATATAAATCTCTAGTATACCATGTAGGTGTTAAACGAATACTAGTTTTCCCCTGCTGCCAGTTCCTTAATTCTGCATTTAATGAGTCTGTCTTCCATTCTTGTGTTTCTGTTTGAGGGACCTTATAATGTCCTAAAGTGTGATAAGTAGAAATAAGCCAGGTGTTACAGATTAGAGTTGGAATAACATGTTTCTATAATGTAGTGTCCAGTACTACTTAAACTTTTTGAACAATCACATCTGTTCGGCTACATCTTCCTTGTGTATTTATATATTTATTATCTTGTACAGGTTGAGCATCTTGAATTCAAAATGCTCCAAAATCCCAAACTTGTAAGTGCTGACATGATGCCACAAGTAGAAAATTCCACACCTGACCTTATGTGACCAAATTGCATTCAAAACAGATGATGCACAAGCAGGGCATGGTGGCTCATACCTGTAATCCCAGCATTTTGGGAGGCAGAGGCAAGAGGATTGCCTGAGCCCACAGGTTCAAGACCAGCCTGGGCAACTTGGTGAGACCTCGTCTCTACAATAAATCAAAAAATTAGCTGGGCGCTGCAGCCTGGATGACAGAGTAAGACTCCGACTCAAAAAACAAAAACAAAAAAACAAATGCACAACACAGAATTTATTCAGCATCCCTAAGGGAAGAATAAAATTACCTTCAGACTGTGTGTATACAAGTGTGCATGAAACACAAAGGATTTTCGGATTTAGATTTGGGTCCTATCCTTAAAATATAATGTTTATGCAAATATTTCAAAATTTGAAAAAATCTGAAACACTTCAGATACTTATCTGTATGGAATTTATAGAAGCCTCATTAGCTTTTCTGTTTTTAGTTACTCATTTGGTCCATTATTTTAGCCTTTCAGATTTCCATTGGCTCTTTTTTTGTTCATCACTTATTAGCTGTCTTTACCGATCCCAAATCACTTGCATGTTTGATCAGTATCATAAGTGGTTTTTCTCTGTTACTTACAGATTTATCAATAGTTCAGAAAGCCCCATATCACCACAGTAGAAAGATTATTGATTTACTTATAGCAGTCTTTTGGTTGATTTGTTCTCCAAATTTATAAGTTTATATAACATAATATTATTAAACCCATATTTGTTCATCTTGATCTCAAAGTTATGGCAAAGACTTCAGGTGTCATCCTAAAATTTAGATCACAAATACACTCATTTAGCAACCTTATTAAAATAGCTTCTACTTTATCTCAGAAAAGCACATGAAGTTCACTCAATGAGGAATGAAATGGGATTTGTTCTTCTGAATATGCTTTATAAAAGGATATATCCTCATACACGTATATGAATGTATGTGTATATGTGCATATGCATATGTCTTTAATGAATTTGTATTTATAATATACAATTTTCTTTTATATTTGGACAGAAGTGGGAACAAGATCCTGAAACTTTCCTGATCATTATAAAGGGAGCTGGAGAAAAGGCTTTCTGTGCTGGGGGTGATATCAGAGGTAAAAACTTTTTCCTCCTTACCTAAATGGTTTTCCCCTCACTAGAACTGTTAAAGGATTAGGAGATTTTTCTAATAATTTGTAATTTGCTTTACTTTTTAGAATTTTTGTTATAAAGTTAATACATTTTATAAAGTTAAGAAAATAAAAAATTAAGGACTTTTTGTAGTTAATATTAGAAAATAAGGGGAACAGTGAATTGGCCTTTTTGGAATGTAGATATCTTGTCTCTCTCCCTGATTCATCACCCAAAAAATGTCCATTTATGGTATATGGGTTCACTTTATATTTTAGAATAGCTGATATTAAGCAGTTCTGTTAGTCACCTAACCTGACAATCTGGCCATGTTGAGTGACTTGCCATTCTCCAAATATGACGTACTCTCACATGTTTCTGTATCTTTTCACATGCTTTCTTGCTATTCATGATCCCAAAGTAAGCACCTTCCCTGTACATAGATATTGTATTTATCTTATTATATTGTAAATATATTTTTACATGTGTTTAAACAAGCTGAGATAAATAAAAATACAAATTCTTCTTGTTTTTCCTAGTTGTTCAGGTCAGTCTGTCTATACACATTTAACTGTTAAAGACAAAAGAAAGAAGGAATGCTTGTTCCCAGGATCAAAGTCATGTACTTATTAATATCACCACTAGTTGTCCATAAAGCTAGATTCAGCACATAATTTCAAATATCTATTAAATTTAAAGTAATGGAATTTTAAAATTGCAGTTTAATGGAAATGTTGATTGTTTGAATTGATTATGTTAGCTTGTTTTTAAATTTATTGTTTTGCCCACGGCATGAATATTTTTAAAACCATTGTTTTTTCAGCTTGGAATTAGGCTTTTCCTAGAGTTGGGCCTACGATCTTGTCAGTTTACTGATGTGGCGGAGCCTTACGTGTATTGAGTTTAGCGTCTTCTGACTGTAAGCCATTTCTGCAGAGAGGCCTAATTTTATATTGATGTTTAGAAATACATTTACAAATGCTTGAATTATTTAATTTTCATATATGAAGCTATGGATTTCAGTTCCAGGAAATTTAGTTTCTTTAAAGATCATAGTATAAGACAGTAAGTGCACAATCAGAACATTAAAAAACAAAGATTGTGAAGGTCATTTAATTTAAATTTATGTGTAACTAGTTGGTGGATTAGAATAAGATTAGAAGAGAGTCTGCGGAGGTTTTCATTCCAAATGCTATACAACTTACAACTTATACTTCTTTCCTTTTGGAATTTATAAACAATAATAAGGACTGAATGAAGGACAACAGATAAAGGTCTTTTTTTTTTTCCAGGCATATATCAGTGAAATCTCAGAATAACCAAAGTAGATGTCAGATATTTTATTTTATTTATTTATTTATTTTTGAGTTGGAGTCTCACTCTGTCACCCAGATTGGAGTGCAGTGGCCGCTCCTGGCCACCGCAGCCTCGACCTGCTGGGCTCCGGCGATCCTTCCGCCTCACTCAGCCTTCCAAGTAGCTGGAACTACAGGTGCGTGCTACCACGCCCGGCTGATTTTTTTGATTTATTGTAGAGATGAGGTCTCACCAAGTTGCCCAGGCGGGCCTCGAACCCGCGGGCTCAAGCTATCCACTCATCTCAGCCTCCCAAGGTGCAGGATTACAGGATGAGCCACCGAACCCAGCTAGATGTCAGATATTTTAAAAACCAGGAAAAAAAGTCAACATATGGAACATCTTGAAGGAATGTATATCAGAATTCTAGAGTTAGTCTAAAAATTGGTAGTGAACACTTTTTATGTAACACTTTCCCATAAAAGAAGAAACATGTATATATGAAACATTTAGCTTTTAATAGATAATTCTCATCTGAACATGGTGGTTCATGCCTGTAATCCCAGCATTTTGGGAGGCTAAGCAGGATTGCTTAAGACCAGGAGTTTGAGACTAGGCAATGTAGTGAGACTTTGTCTGTACAAAAAAATAAAAATTAGCTGAGTGTGGTAGCATATGCCTTTGGTCCCAACCATTCTGGAGCCTGAGGCAGAAGGATTGCCTTAGCCCAGGAGGTCGAGGCTGTGGTGAGCCATGATCGTGCCACTGCACTCCAGCCTGGGTAATAAAGTGAAACCCCAGCTTAAAAAATAAAAAGATAATTGTCATAGGATTTAAAGACAGGAAAGTCATATGAGCTTGTAATATATGGAAGAGAAAACTTTGATAGCGGTCATGATTACTAGAGTAGGAATGTAGTGGGAGATGTGAACTCTGGACAATAGGAAATTGTAGTAGAAATGAAACCACTTGATAGTGTTCATTATTCAGCAGATACTAAACAAGCGTTTAAGTCAGGTCATAGTATGTTGTAGCAATGTCTTGAGAATGACATTTCCATTGCTATTAACATAAGAATGTTACAGTCTTATCTCTCTCTAGCCTCAACTTTTTCCTTTTCCCTTTAGTTTCAAATTACCCAATTCTTGATTGCATTTTTTTTCCTTTCTTGTCTTTGTGCTTTTGCAGAGCGCTTTTTTCCTGTAATTCTTCAGAAAATTCTCACCTACGTTTTCAAACTTGTCTGGGGCTTACCTCTTCTGGAAAGCCTTCACTTAATTGTGTGTCTCCTGCTCCCATTCCCACAACACCCTGACCTTTATATCGTGGGCACAGTGCACTGTGTTTTGCTAGTCTGGCTTTCTTGTAAGTCTGAACTCCAGGACAGCCATATGATATTACTGTCTTGTTATCTGCAGCACCTAACAGAATACATTGCTACACAGTAGATGCTCAATAAGTGCTTCATGGGAAAATGAATGTGGTAGAAATATTTGATTAATACCTGGCAGGGGAGATATCATGTTCACCAAGGTAGTTTTCCCAAGGCGAGGCTTATTCATTGCACCCCAGATGTGCTGACCCCTGCGGTTTCCCCAAATGTGGGAAACTCAACTGCATAATTTATGGTAGCAGGGGACTGCATTAAGAGTAAAAAAAAAAAAAAAAATTAACTAACTATAATACACTGTAGCACTAAACATACACGAGGGAGTGTGACAATGTATAATGTATTTGGTACTGAGATTTTATTGCCTAAGGAAAAGTATGTCTAGCAAATGTTTATTCAGGTGCTAGAGAAAATAATCAAACGAAAATACAGTTTGTAACAATATAAGATTTCTAATTTAAGAAGTGTAAGCAGCAAGAATAGGGATTTTTGTCTTGAAGCTTTGACATTGGACTATGGATCTGTGACTGACTATAATATATCTGTGGCATGGGCAACTTGAAAATTTTAACAAGCCATTTTAGAGTACCCTTCTGCCCCCGGTATTTAATTATTGTAATACTTTTCATCTGTTTGATAATATCAATTGTTAAATAGCTCTTTTGGTTTGTAATTGTCCCTTCCTTTCTAGAGGTCTCAGAAGCTGGAAAGACAAACCAGAAGACAAGTCAAGATTTCTTCAGAGAAGAATATACACTGAACAATGCCATTGGTATGTGTGTTCTGCTGAGAGCTTTGAAATGGAATCAAGAAGTGAGGTGACAGTATGATTTGTTAAAAGTGTAATCAATAGACATTCTTATTTAAATACTCTGTGCCCAGGCATAAAGTAAAATTGATTAAACTATTCTGACTGCTTATTCCAGAAAATTAAACTTTAATATTAGTAGATTTTGACTGCTATTTGTCATAAAATCAATATGAAAATATGGATTTCTGATTCTATGGCAGACTTTCTTGGAAAACAAAAAAACTTGGATCCCAGTTTTCTCTATAAAATGAAATACAGTATCATTTTCTAATTCTTAAGGAACTTAGAAATAAAAATTTCTTTACATTGAAAGTTCCAAGTTTCACTTGAAGTGAAGCATTACTTTATTTTTTCAAGCATGTATTTCAAAAGTTAAATGACAGGAAATCACATAAAATAAATACTTGTCCCCTCCAGCCCAGAATTAACAGACATCAATATTTTGTTTCTGCTTGATGTCTTAAAATTTATTTAGGAGAAATATAATACTGCGAGTTTTAAAGTTACAGTTCAGTCCATTTTGTTGCTTTCCTCTGTGCCTTTCCCTTTCTCTCCTCAGAAGTAACCATTGTCCTTAATTTGTAGTATATCTTCCTGTATTTTATACTTTTGCTGTATTTGCTTTATATTTAGGAACTGTATTTTATACTTTTGCTTTATATTTAGGAACTGATAGAGTTTTACTTTGCATTTTGGGATTTACATAAATACTATCTTACTGTATGGTATACCATTCCATAAATTGTTTTTAACAACATTGAATGTAATTGTTCTATAGTATCCAATATTATGATTATACCCCACATTACTTATATAGTCTACATTAATGGACATTCTAGGTTAAAACTGTTCCAGTTTTTGCTAATATAGATAGTTGTACCCTGGTATATGTCCCCTTATTGCCCATGTGCAAAAATTTATCTAGAAGTAATATGTGGGATGGATAGATCAGAGTGTTCATAAATCACTACTGTGTTTCCAAATTCTTCTTTAAAGTATGAGACTTTGTTTTTCTTTTCTTTTTTTTTTTTAATGTGTGTGTGAGTTGGAGTCTCACTCTGTTGCTCAGGCTGGAGTACAGTGACATGCTCCCGGCCACCTCAGCCTCAACCTGCTGGGCTCAGGCAAGTCTTCCCCCTCAGCCTTTCAAGTAGCCAGAACTACAGGCACATACTACCACGCCCAGCTAATTTTTTTTTTTTTAATTGTAGAGATACCCTCTCACCTTAGCCTCCCAAAGTGCTGGGATTATAGGCTTGAGCCACCACACCTGGCTTAAGACTTTGTTTTTCTACATGTCTTGTCTTGGATATTCTTGGATTTTTATCTCCCATATGAATTGTAAAATTGCTTTGTCTGGTTTTACAAAAAATATTTTATTGAGATTTTGATTGGAATGACAATTAATCATGGGTTAATTGGGAGGGAATTGACGTCTTTGATAGTATTGAATCTTTCCATTCATGAATATAGCATATTTCTTCATTTAAATTTACCCATTTCAAGTGCACAGTTCAGTGATTTTTAGTAAAGATAGAAGGTTGTACACCCATCACCATAAGTCAGTTTTTGAACATTTTTTTAGGTTGACTTGCATGTCCTTCCATCATGTCATGTGATTTTTCTCCATAAAGACTCTGCTTTTAAAAACTTTCTTTTAAAAACATTTTTATTTTAAGTTTGTAGGGTACAATTCAGGCTTAGGTATACAAATGTTCATTATGCAGGTACCCTTGTTGATGAAGTGTGCCCCCTCCTCACCTGGCAGTTTCCCACTATTGCCATCCCATCTCTGCCCTCCCCTGGCAGTTTCCCACTACCGCCAATCTCTTTCTTATAGTATTATGATAGTTGTTCAAGGTCCACTTATGAGTGAGAACATGTGACACCCGATTTTTTGTTTCTGTGTTAGATCACTTAGTATTATAGCCTCTAAGTCCATCCAAGTAGCTGCAAAGCCATAATTTTGTCCTTCTTTATGGCTGTGTAATACTCTATCGTGTATATGTACCATATTTTTAAAAATCCAGTCCTCTTTCTATGGGCAGTATGGTTAATTCCATGTTTTTGCTATTGTAAATAATGTTGCAATAAACATGCATGTGCAGGTATCTTTTTTACAGAGTGATTTGAGTTCTTCTGGGTATATTCCCAGTAGGGGGATTGCAGGGTCATGTGGAAGGTCGATTTTTAGATCTTTTAGGAATTGCCACACTGTTTTCCAGAGTCTGTACTAGTTTACATTTCCACCAACAGTGTAGTGTTCCCTTTTCGCTGCATCCTTTCCAGGATTTGTTGTTTTTTGAGTTATTGATGATGGCCATCCTGACTAGAGTTAGGTGGTATCTCAGGGTGATTTTAATTTGCATTTATTTGATACCTAGTGAGGCTGAGTATTTTCTCATTTATCTATTGGCTGCTCATATGTCTTCTTTTGAGAAGTGTCTTTTCATATCTTTTCCCCACTTTGTAATGGGTCTATTTGTTTTTTTCTTTTCAGCTCGTTTGAGTTTCTTGTAGATCCTTGATGTTAGTCCTTTGTCAGTTATACAGTTGGCAAATATTTTTCCCCAGTCTGTGGGCTGTCTTCCTGCTGTCTCAATTGTTTCTTTTGCTTTGTAGAAGCCTGTCAGTTTGATGAGGTCCCACCTGTCTATCTTATCTCTTAATGGTATGGGTACGTGGGGTTTTGATCAGGAATTGGTTGCCAGTTCCAATTTCCATAAGGGTATCTCCCACATTTTCCAAGGTTCTTATAGTTTGAGGTTTTATGTTTAGGTCTTTGATCCATTTAGAGTTGATTTTTGTGTACGGGGATAGGTAGGGGTCTTGCTTTAATCTTCAGCATGTGGTCAGCCAGTTTTCCCAGCACTATTTACTGAATAGGTTCTCCTTTCCCCAATGGTTGATGGTGGAGGCTTTGTCAAAGATGAGTTGGTTGAGAAATTGAGGTTTTGCTTCTGGAATCTCTGTCTTGTTCCATTGGTCTATATGTCTGTTCTTGTACCAATGCCAAGCTGTTTTGATTATTGTAGCTTTATAATAAAGCTTAAAGTTTGGGAGTGTGATACTTCCAACTTTGTTTTTGTTTGTTTGTTTGATTTTATTGAAGATTGTTTTGGCTATTTGTGTTGTTTATGTTTCCATATGAATTCCTGTATTGTTTCCAAGTCTGAGAAGAATGTTGCTGGCAATTTAACGGGTATTGCATTAAATCTGTAGATTGCCTTGGGTAGGATGGGCATCTTAACAATGTTGATTCTTCCAATCCATGAGCCTGGAATATTTTTTCATTTGTTTGTGTCATCTTTGATTTCTTTGAGCATTGTTTACAGTTTCTGTTGTAGAGGTCTTTGACTTCTGTGATTAAGAAGATGCCGAGGTATTTCATTTTTTGTCGTTATTGTGAATGGGATTGTGCTTTTTATTTGGCTTTCTGTTTGTTTATCGTTGGTGTATAGGAATGTGACTGACTTTTGCACATTTATTTTGTACCCTGAGAATTTGCCAAAGTCCTTTATTAGTACAAGGAGGTTTTTGACAGATTCTCTTGGGTTTTCGAGGTATAGAATCATGTTGTCTGCAAAAAGGGATAATTTAACTTCCTCTTTTCCTATTTGGAAACTGCTGATCTCCTTCTCTTGCCTGATTGCTCTAGCTAGGACTTCCAATACTATATTGAACAGGAGGGATGAGTATGGGCATCCTTGTCTTGTTCCAGTTTTCAGGGGAAATGGTTCCAATTTCTGTGTGTTTAGCAGTATGATGGCTGTGGGTTTCTCGTAGATGACTCTTACTATTTTGAGGTATGTTCCATCTATGCCTAGATGTTTGAGGTTTTTTATCAAGAAGAGGTACTGGATTTTATCAAAAGCTTTTTCTGCATCTAATGATATAATAGTGAGGTTTTTATCTTTACTTCTTTTGATGTATTTAATTATGTTTATGGTCTTATGGATGTTGAACCAGCCCCTGCATCCCAGGGATGAAGCCTCTTTGGTCATGGTGGATGATTTTTTAGATGTGTTGTTGAATCCAGTTTGCTAGAACCTTGTTGAGAATTTTAGCATCTATGTTCATCAAGTATATTTGTCTGTAGTTTTCTTTCTTTGTTGGATCTTTTCCCGGTTTGGGTATCAGTGTGATGTTAGCTTCTTAAAATGATTTGGGGAAAGTTTCATCTTTCTCGGTTGCCTGGAATACTTTCAGTAGGATTTGTATCAGCTCCTCCTTGTATGTTTTGTAGAATTCTGCTGGTCCAGAACTTTTATTTTTGTAGGTTTAACCTTTTAAAAAATCAACTTTTGGTTTTATTGATTTTTTTTTTTTTTTTAATTTTTGTTTTTGTCTTCTATGTCCTGCATTTGGGCTTTTATTTTGTTGATCTGGATTCTTGTGCTGAAGTTAAGGTTTAGTGGTTTTGCCTTTCCAGTTTCCTTAGGTGGTTTGTTAGGCTGTTAACTTGTGATCTTTCCATTTTCTTCATATGTATTCTTAGAGATACGAATTTCCCTGTTAGTACTACTTTCATGGCATCCCGGAGATTTTGATAAGATGTTTCTTCATCTTCAAAATTTTTCTTTATAATTTATTCTCAATGCAGCTTGTAGTTTTTGTTACAACATTTAATGGTTATTTTCCTATTACTTTTTAAAATTGACTATTTCTGGCATATAGAAATGCTTTTGATTTTTGTATAATTACATCCAGCAATGCTGCTGAAACCTCATTAATTTTAATGGTGTTTCTAAATAGATTCTCTCAGTTTTTCTATATAGGCAATTCCATCATCTGCACATTGGTTTTTTTCCCCATCTCTTTTCAAGTCTTATATTTATGGCTTATTATATTTTGGCTAGAACCTCTGTTATATTGTTGAATAGTGTTATCTTATTCTTTATTTTTATTTTTTGAGTTGGAGTCTCACTCTGCCACCCAGACTGGAGTGCAGTGGCACGCTCCCGGCCACCACAGCCTCCACCTGCTGGGCTCCAGTGATCCTTCTGCCTCAGCCTTCCAAGGAGCTGGAACCACAGGCGCACGCTACCACGCCCGGCTAATTCTTTTGATTTTTTGTAGAGATGATGTCTCACCAAGTTGCTCAGGCGGGTCTCGAACCCACGGGCTCAGGCAATTCACTCACCTTGGGCTCCCAAAGCTCGGGATTACAGGCTGAACCACTGAACCCGGCCTTATTCTTGATGTCAATGGGAAAGCTTTCAAATTTCATACTTATGGATTGCCTGAGCCTGCAGGTTTGAGACCCGCCTGGGCAGGCGTGACCTCATCTCTACAATAAATCAAAAAATTAGCAGGGCGTGGTAGCGTGCGCCTGTAATTCTGGCTATTCAGAAGGCTGAGGCAGAAGGATTGCCGGAGCCCAGCAGGTCAAGGCTGCAGTGGCCAGCATCGGCCACTGCACTCCAGTCTGGGCGACAGAGTAAGACTCCAACTCAAAAAAAGAAAAAAAAAAAATTCACACTTAGGTATAGCTCTTTTTGTGGATTTTTTTTTAAACCAAGTTAAGGACATTGCTTCTATTTCATATTTGTTAGGAATGTTTTCTTTTTGTCTGTTTTAGTTGTTGATAGCTAGTGCTCAAGCATCCACTTTCTCAGACTTTTTCTTTTTTTCTGGACAGGGGAAAGCCATCTTATAGAATTCCTGAGACAGTGAATGGGGATTTTCTAGTCCTGTTTTCTAAATGGAATAGCTCCTGTTAACTTGAGATTTTATGCAGTTTGCTGATTACATAAGATATTTATCCCCAACTCCCAACACACAAACACACACACACACACACACACACACACACACACACACACACACACACACACACACACAGAGTAATCTTTAGCTGTAGCTTCCACTCAACTTGACTTTGAGTTTCTTATTTGTTTCTGGTACTTGGGAATTTCCCTTGGTTGGCTTTGGTCTTGGATATACATTTAGAATTATTTTTTTTAGAATTTCCAGTATGAAGTAGGAGTAGGGAAAGGATACTCATTCCCATTTTAGCTCAGTGAGCAAAATTGAATGGATATCTGTTAGTCCTTTAAATCCTAAAATTCCACTTATCAAGTTTACTTAGAATATTTTATTAATTCAAATATTTTACATACCAGCACTGCCCAGTAGGATTTTCTGAGTGATAAAAATATTCTGTACCTGTGCTGTCTGATATGAGAGCCACTAGCCACATGTGGCTGTTGGAGCACTTGAGATGTGGCTAGTGTGACGAAGAAACTAAATTTTAAATTGTATTTAATCATATTAATGTTAATCTAAATGACTACATATGGCTAGTTACTACTATATTAGTGTAGTTTTATACTAAATATATTTCTAGGCAATTTGAAAAAATAATTTGGAAAAACATTAGCATGCAGAGAAAAAGTATAATTTCTGTACATTTCAAAGTTTAATTTCTGTACACTGTAATGATATAGTTAGTAAAGAATTTGAAAGATTTTGACTTTATATCTTGTATCAATTAGCATCTAATATTTTATATCTAAAATAGATCTATAGCTGAAATGGAGTGTGTATATTTATATGTCTCTATCACAATCAATAAATTCTTTTCCATAGTTTCTGGGGAACTACAGATCAGAACTGAGGGCACGAAAAATCCTTGTGAAAGTGTGATTTGAGTTGTGCTTTGGTGGTTGATTAGCGAATTGGGAATACTTACACAGTTGTTAGATGGATCACAACTCTACAGTTTTATATTGACCTTTGGTAAGGAGTAATATTGGCAAAAGTTGTAATAGGGGCTTGGTGATTTACATTTTGTTGTGCTCTGAGCAACTCACCTTCTCAGAGGAGAAACTAAAAAGGAAAGAGAAAACAGTAAAAGTTTGTATGATTAACAAAATTTTTGAGCTTGAAGACACACCTGACCATATTTTGTCTTATCATTTTGTAGATGAGAAAATTTGTATGAAATACATATATCTGATGTGAATATGTCATATATAGCTCATATGTTTTTCATTTAATGCCCATTTGAGTTTGATGGTACAGCTGAGACAAGAATCTCGGTCTTCTTCTGAGATTAGACAAGACCAGGTGTGATCAGGGTGGTGTGGTCTGAGTGGTATGGCTGTTGACGAGAATCTGGGTCATCGTAACTCTCAGGCCATGATTTTTTCCTGTGGGCTGTACTTCTCCATATGTATCCAGATACTTCTTTAAATGTATAGAAAACAAATGTGTTCTTTAAAGCAGTGGTCCCCAGCCTTTTTGGCATTAGGAACTTTTTTTGTGGAAGACAGTTTTTCCATGGACTGGAGTTGGGAGGGTGGTTTTGGGAGGATTCAAGTGCATAACATTATTGTGCACTCTATTTCTATTATTTTTACATTGTGACATATAATGAAATAACTGTACAACTCACTATAAAAAAGGTTGAGAAGGATGTGGTAAACAAAATAATGGGTGGACCTTGTGTGGTCTAAAATAAATATCTGTTTCTGACTTAAAGCCTGCCACCAGATGCAGCTGTACAATTGAAGTAATCAGTTCACTTGCCACTCACTGGTAGGGTTTTGATATGAGTCTGTGAGCAATTTATTATGGTCTCTGTGTAGTCAAACTTCACTGCTAATGTCAATCTGTATTTGCAGCCGCTCCCCAGTGCTAGCATCACCACCTCGGCTCCACTTCAGATTGTCAGGTATTAGATTCTCATAAGGAATGTGCAACTTAGTTCCCTCACATTTACGTTCACAATAGGGTTCACACTCATATGAGAATCTAATGCTACCACTGATCTAACAGGAGGCAGAGCTCAGGCAGTAAGGGGAGCAGCTGTGAATACAGATGAAAGTTCACCATGTGGCCTGGTTCCTAACAGGCCACCGGTCCGTGGATGGGGATCCCTGCTTTAAAGTACAACTACAAGCATAAACATCAGTGGCTTGTAAGGTAAATGTTAATTATATTTCTCTATAGCTGAGTTATAAAAGGCTTTCTTTTTTTTTTTATTTTTTTTTAAAGAGACTATGTCTCGCTTGTTGCCCAGGCTGAAGTGCAGTGGTGCAGTCATATCTCACTGTAACCTTGAACTCCTAGGCTCAAGTGATCCTCCTGCCTCAGCTTCTGGAGTAACTGGGACTATAGGCATGGACCACCACCCTTGACTAATTTTTAAAACATGTTTTGTAGAGATGGAATTTCACTGTTTCCCAGGCTGTTCTTGAACTCCTAATTAACCTCAAGCAATCCTCCCATCTCAGTGTCCCAAAGTGCTAGGTTACAAGTGTGAGCCACTGTGCCCAGCTCTGTCTTTCATTTGTTTCAAATTGAAGGCTGAATTGTTAAATGATAGACAATTAGGATTGTGTTTGAGTTGACATTTAAAAAATTATATAATTTACAAGTCATATGTTTAGTCCTCTTTGATATTTCTTGCAAAAACTTCCTAGGGAAAATCTTGAGAGTTTATATATGTGATTTTTTTAAGAAAAAGTGAATGCATTTTAAACTTTGCAACTAAAACTACAGCTCTGTTTCTTTTTAGATTCTTGCAAGAAACCTTATATTGCACTTATTCATGGAATTACAATGGGTGGGGTAAGTAGACTTTTACTCTGATTATTAATATGAGTGAGTTGTGTTAAAAATAAGTTAATAATATTAAATAGAAGTGAGGTGATGAATACAATACAGTAGACCCCCTTAACAAAATTATGTGGATTTTGGAAAGTGGCAGATTTGGGATATAATATTTGCTTATAACACTTTTAGATTTTCTCAACTCAAATTAGTAGTTTATATTCTTAATTATGTTATATGCTGTTGTAACTTTTTAAAAACTTTTTTATAAGCTTTTTTAAGCAAACTGCATAATCTTTAAAAAATATATATATATAGAGAGAGAGAGCCTATTTTCTGCTTACAAATAAATTGATTGCTTCCAACAGCTTCAGAAGAGAAACTGGGGTGCTTTTTTTAATTATTATACTCTCAATATTGGGGATTTGGTTGCCTAAACTGTACCTACTGTACAAAATTTCACCTTATTGGCAGTGTTTGTGAAGTTCTCTATAACTGCATATCTACCAGTTGACTAATATTTATTTTGCCTCTGTGCTAATACAAAGTAGTCTAATATGTAACTGCCTTAAATAATTTGATGTGGAGTTGAAGAAAACATGCAATAATTACAGGACAAGTGGTAAATTATATGGCACCGACTGTAACAAAAACAAGCCTTGAAGGAAGTAAGGGGTCAGAATGGGTCTTCATAAGGAGAAAGGAACTGCCTGGAGAAGATGATGAATTGAACTGATCCTAGAAGGGCAGTGAAGGAGAGAAAAAGTAGTATATTTCCCTTACCCAATGCAAAGGTCATGGCCAATACCGCTAGTAACAAATGACCGATTAACCAGAGAAAAGCATAACAAATCTATTTAGTCAATGTTTTATATGACATGGGAGCCTTCAGAAATGAACCCAGGGAAAACTGGATTTTTGTGCTTAGATAAATAATGAACAGTCATGTAGAAATATGATTGGACAAAAGGGTGTGATCCAGAGGTAATTCATGGGTAGAACTTAGGCCTTTTTGCTCAGATTCTTCTTGGCCTCTCTGTGTAACATTCCTTTCCTCCAAGTATAAGGCAGCACACTTGTCACATGAGGGTTTAATGATGTACTTTTAGGAAAGATAGGTCTGAGAATTTCTTTATGGCTGACTCTCCTACAGAAAGGTGGGGGAAAGTCAGAGAGTGGCCTTCAAGGAACTGGGCATGTTTTTGGGTAGTATTTTCTGAACTCTAACAATAAGCAGGTAGCACCTAGGTAGATAGGTAGTAAGACCCCAAAGGTGGACTTTCAGAACTTTCCCCTGTTCAATGTTCTAGAGACTTAGTTATTTGGAATACATGAAGTCCCCTGTTTGTTCTAGTAGAGCCATCTGAAATGAAACTTCTTGGGCACCGGGAGTTGCACATCATTTGGGGAAGTACAATTCACTGGTAAGGGCAATCTGTACTTCTCTGCTTTTTGACAGATCCTGAGCATGGGTTGGTTGTATTTTGTCAAGGAAGAGTTAACATGGGGAAAATAAAGGCTCTATGAAAAAAAGACTGCAGAATAAGGGGGAGGGAAATAATCTGTAGTGTTGAAGGAAGAACTGCCATGTGAATGTGAAAAATGAAAACAAAAACAATGGGCATACCCAGTAGCGTGTAAAAAGTAAATGTGGGCCCAGTAAGACCGGAAAGAAACCCCAAAAGAAGGCAGCAAACTCAGATGAAAGGGCTACAGACTGAAAAAGAGGAACAGATAACATTAGGGAGGATGATTAGGAACTAAAATACAATAGTAAAGCTGAGATTCCACTTTAAAGGCAATAGATTAGAAAGAATTGAATTTAATATTATTGTTAGTGAGATTGTATTTGTGGAGGACAAACTTAGGAAGCTCTCATAAAACATTCAAAAAAAGAAAAATATTAAATAAATAATGAGAAAGAATGTTTTGATGTAATGACTATGAAAAAAAGATACTGGGAACCCAACAAAGGAATAATAAATACTCCATTGAAAATAACTCAAACACTTGGTATAGAAATGATAAATAGAATTAAAGATAACTTTTGAAAAATTTAAGTAAAAACAAAAACTCCCAACCTTAGGTAAATACAATTAAAGGGTGATTTCAGATAAAATCTGTGAAAAAGAGACACACACCTAGATAAAAACTTAGGTTAATTTTTTTTTAATTACAGGCTTTAAGAAGAAAATCAGCTGTATGTGTTCAGGCTTAGGAGCCAAGGCAAAGGAATTATGGTGGATACAGGTGACATACAAAGCAGAAATCTGGCTTTAGAATTGCCTGTACACAAAGTGCCAGGTGGTAGTTAAGACACAAGAGTTTTCTACCAAATAAATTGTCATTTAGCATAAATGTAAAAAAAATTTTTTTCAGAAAATGAATGGGCTTGAAAAATATATTGCTAACTGTTGAAAATATAAGAGATCACTCAAAATTATAACTCAAGACTAGCTTTGTTTTGAAAGAATTGGCGACTTGGTGCTCTCAGAGGGCAGAACCTTCGTCTTTTTATAGAAACTTGAGAATCCTTGCTCTAGCATATCTCACCAATGCATAGTCCCCTGGCATGGATAGGTTAGTGTAGTGTTTGCATGCATTCCTACATATGTAACAGCCATGAGTGTTACATTTAGTTCTTAAAAAAAAAAAAAAGACTGCAGTAAAACATATCAAGATAATGCTGTCTTGAATAGGAGAAGTAAAGGTGATGCTGCTTTTTCCTTCTAGCTTGTATTTTAAATTTACTGTAAAGCACATAAATGACTTTCAAATTAAGATATGCTTGCTATTAACTTTTCTTAACCAGAGTTAAAGTCTTAGTGCTCTAAGGCAATGGTTTTCAAGATTCTCTCCCTGTAACAGCAGCATTAGAAGTACTTGGGAACTTGTTAGAAAATACACATTCTTGGGTACCACTCCAGAGTCAAATTCTAAGGGCTGGGCCCAGCAATCTGTTTGAACAAGCTCTTCAAGCGACTCTGAGCCATGTTGTTTGTGAACTATTGTTCTAAGTCATCCATTGCATTAGTGAATTTTCTCCTGTTTCTGTCCTGTGCTTTCAGAATGGTACGAGTTATGTACTATTCTTGGGAGAATTGAGAAAATAGTCATACATTTGAAGTGATCTGTGGTTCCGGTTAGGGACACCTGAGAAAGTTTGTTTTATGTTATTTTATCAGCTCCTCTATCTCTCCCCCCCAAAGAAACTTGTGTCTTTTTTCCCCATCAGGACTTCTTACCTATATGCATTCTTCAAGACTGATGTTCTACCCTCTTTTTTGACAATAATGAACACTACAGGCTGAATATCTCTTATCTGAAATGCTTGGGACTAGAAGTGTTTTGGATTGCAGATTTTTCCAGATTTTGGATTATTTGCATTACTTATCAGTTGAGCATCCCAGATCTGAAAATCTGACATCCAGAATGCTCTAATGAGCATTGTCTTTGAGCCTCATGTAAGTTTTGGATTTTGGAAATTTTCAGATTTTGAGTTTTTTATTTGGGATGCCCAACCTGTACTACATTAGATGTGATTTCTTCTTCCATTGAGTCAGTGTTTTCCACCAGTACTTTAAATTTGGCATTTGTACTTTATTGTTAGTTACTTTATAATATATCTTATCTCCCCAAATATATTAGTTTGTAAGGGCAAGGACTATCATGCCCTTTTTTAGTTTTCCCATAATAACTAGGTATGCACAGTGTGTAATTCTTTATTTAAACAATTCTCCTCTAAATTAGAAACATCTTGAAAGGGTAAAATAGACTGAAAGTTAACAGGCTCTTTTTTTATAGTGGGATTTTGTATGTATCTTGGTTTTGAAGGCTAAACTTTTCTTGTCTCATTTACAAACTTCTGTGGTTTGAATATGGTTTGTACCCACCAAAACTCGTGTTGTGGCTTGGTCCTCAATGTAGAGGTATTGGAAGATCATGCCTTTAAGAGGCAATTAGCTTGTTAAATGGATTAATATCTTCCGGGCAAGACTGGCTTAGTTCTTGCAGAAATGGATTTGTTTCTGCGAGAGCAGGTTGTTATAAAGCAAAGTTATCCCTCATTCTTTGCCCTTTTCGCCCATACAAGTTCCTTTCTATTTTGCTGCCATGTTTTGATGTAGCATGAGGCCTTCATCAGAAACTGCTAGATGCAGCCTCCCAAGTTTGAAATTTCCAGTTTACAGAACTTTGAGCTAAATAAATCTCTTTTCTTCATAAATTACCCAGTCTGTGGCATTCTGTTATAGCAGCATAAAGTCCTGCAGTTTCTCAGCAGGACTAAGAAACTTGGTACTGAAAAGTAGGGCTGTTACTAATAACAAATACCTGTAAATGTGGGAGTTCTATAAAGAACTGAACTGGAGTCCACTTGCCTGTGCAGTAAAATTAGATATGCACACTGAGGTTTTTTTTGCAGCAATAGAAAGGAAGGCATTCTTTGCAAGGCAACAAGTAAAACCAAGCTACTGCTCAAATTCTGACCTCCCCGATGGCTTACAGGACAGGGCTTTTAATGGTAGGAGTAAATTTCAGAAAAGCAGAAGCTACAGGCAGTGTCATCAATCAATACATGGAGGTTCCATGTTGGTTTTGGCCTAAAGGGGGGGGATATCTTGAAGTGAGGGCTTACGGTTTGCAGGTGGATTCAGAGATCTCTGATTTGCAATTGGTTAAGGAAGAGAAGCTTTGTTTAAAAGTTTGGGGTCTACAGAAAAAATGTTAACTGGCTCAGGGGTATGACTCCCTCCAGGCCCCTCATGAAGAAACTTAGAAGGAATTGTGGTCAGTTAAGTCTTCAATTTCCCCTTATCTGAAGTCTACCTGCCAGCGGATCCATTTGGTGAGGGTCCTCTGAGGAGATCTGAGCCTCTGAAAGACAACTCAGGGACTTATATTAGGATGTCTTTAGTTTCTATAGGGAAAACAAGCATCTCTGGAACTTTACATTTCTTGGCTAATGTGTTTAGGGTTTTTTTGTGTTTTTTTTCGGTTTGATTTTTTTTTGAGTAAAG